TTTCGTTAGAACTCGCGTAGTTATGAGGAATTGCTTTTCGTTCGAACTAATGGTATAACTCAAAATAGAAAGACTAACAAGGGAAACTGAATTGATGATATCGTTAGAATCAAACACTAGATAGTAGGTACTCGTATCGTGTTATGCAGGTTCGATAGGTCACAGAAAGCAATAAGACTATGAAGAACCCATTACGTTAACCGAACATTTGAGTTGAGTAAAATAGTAATCAATAGTATTCCACTATTTCTGATGAAAATGGAAAGAAAGTAAGCGAATAAAAGAGAAAGGTTACCGTAAAGTCATGATGGAAAGACCGAGCAAGAATACAGAGTGGTTCATGAATCTACGAACTGATGAAGAGGCGATTGTAAACATCAAACGAAATTGAAATACTGATGATTTTCTTCTTCGGTAACAAACTGATACCACAGATTATCCGCGATGTTCCCATTCAAAGAAGCACCTGCAAACAGATGACAGATGAAAGATTGCCACGGAATAAATGCTCTACACTATTAGTTCTGTTTATAACTTCTAAGAATGATAGAAGTACAATCGTATTTACCTTGCTACTCGATAGCATGTTGAATTTCTTCAAAGCCAACAACTGGAGATCATTCTGTCACACCGATGCAGATGATCCAAATCCAAGCATAATTCAAGTAAAACTCGAGATGGGCGTTTGAAAATGGAACTGATACTGAAGAAATTCAATGAATAATGATTAATTTACAAGAATAAACGAGTAATTTTAGAATTTCTAATGAAATGTCGTAAAATGGTCGAGTAAAATGAAGATTGTTATCAGTACAAAAGATTGAAAATGAAAGATGAGAAGTAAAAGATAATTACCTTCAATCACGTTTGACAAACAAATTCTTCACATTCCACGAAAGAAAAGTAAACAATTTGAGGACTGAGAATTCGAATATTGAATTAAATCGAATAATTAGAAGAAAATCATCAATGTCCATTCCATTTCCAATGTCCATTCTTCGATGAAACGAAACGACGCAAACAGCCATACCAAAAAGTTTCTTTACTTTTTCTTGATAAAAGTTAAGCTATATTCAAACGTAACGCGAGGTTGCGTTTTCATTTGTTTTCAAAACGAAGCAATCTGATTGGCTGTTGAAGTCACAATTGATCTCGACTCGTGTGAATCGGTCATTCGATCGTATAGGTCACGTATGGGTTTCCCGTTTCCTTTTGAACGTACTGTATTTAATTTGTGTTTTGAAGATCTCGCTCGATTCTCGAGTTGTTGGATTCTTCTTCTTCGTCGACTTCGTATATTTTTTGGTTTTCCAAAATAACAAGCAAGGATCATCCATCATCCAATTTTGTTAATACGGAAAACAGGAACAATTACATCGAAATTCGTTTCTTAGTTACTGTGATATTATGTGGTGAGTGCTGTAATGTCATAATACTCGATATTGTACGAAATCTGATCGTACAATTTTCCAGATTTTCCATTTTGTCAGAGCTTCTACGAACGTAATGAGCTGCGTGAACATGGCATCAGCGGTTTCAGCTGGAGAAGCGAGTTCTTCGACATCAACTTCAAAGGATGCCAGTGCTTTGGATTTGCTGCAACGTTTGCAGCGTGCTATTTTCAGTGGTCAGCCTCAAACAGCAGCAGACGTTGCTTCAGAATTAGCCAAGATGAGAGCTAATTGTAGCATGACCATTAGAAGGTATGGTCTCGAGAGTGCTATTCATTGCTTTAGTCTAATCTGTATTTGTACTCTATTACTCGCGAATAATGTGTAATTACGTTACGACCCAACAGATTATTCGATTTATCGAATTATTGAATTCCTTTAATTTGCAGATCTGAAATTCAGTTGGTCGATGTCGAGGTTTCCGAAGAGCCAATTCGTGTTCCAGTGGAAGCAACGACAACGATTAGCGATTTGGAAGAACAGATTTACTTGAAACATAAAGTTCCTATTCGAGGTCGTTGTGTGGTGCTTCTGGAAACTGCGTTACCATCGCAGCATGATGATGATGGTGATGTAGTCGTTAGTAGTGGAACTTCTGGTGATAATCTGGAGATGAGTACAAATGCGATGGATTTGACAGTTGGGACTGCCATGGAAAATGGTATTGAATTATTTCGAAAATCGTTTTCATTTCGTATATTTTTAAAACAGAAAAATTCCGAAGAATTGAATTGAGCCATTGGTTACCAAGTAAATGTCTTTTGCCAACAACTTAAAAATTGTAATTCATAAGGAATTTGAGCTGCAATTGATACAAATGTTGAAAAATTATTAATTTTCAGTCTAACACAGAATTGCTCCTGCATCTTATGTTTAAGGTTATTCACAAAGAGAGTTACAAAAAAATTGAGGTGGTAAATAAGTGCAATAGTTGTTGAGTCCTAGAGAAATAAAGTTTATGAAAAAAAAATTATATTTGAGTGGCAATTGCTCCTATGAAATTCGTCAGTTCATGCGTGTATGAGTAACTAGGTCAATGTCTTTCCAAATTACTTCATTTTCAAACTGAATTGAAGAGCAGTATCTGAGAAAAATATTGAGACCAAGATATGAGATCAGGGACTGAAATATCAAATATACGTTTAAAATAAGCAGGTTTTCACGATGAAAACCTGCTAAAAAGTGCTAAAATCATTTCTTCTGTTGTATTATCCATACAATTTGAAGAAAATGGTGATGAATGAACTTATTTTCGTAGTAAATTGTGGTTGAGTGTTGTGTAAGTCGAGATTATATCTACCTTTGACTATCAGTTTTGAGGGGTTCTTTTCCTGGAAAACTTGGCTGATCTGGTTCATTTTGTACATCATTACCAAATGAAGAAATAACTTGCGTAAGACAGATTGCATATGCAACCACGCCTAAGCCAAAATTTTATTTCATTCTTTTCAAATTTTATTTTTAACTAGCTGGCTCGATGTGGCT